CCCGCGTCTCCTGCATCGGCAGGCGGACTCTCAAGCACTGCGCCACCAGGGAAGCCCTACCTAGACTTTTTAAGCTAGGGTAGCCAGATCTTGAATAAAAGAGGGTCTTGAAATAGCTAAAATTTTAAGGTTTTATTTCTGAATTTCTAAAAACACACATTTGACAAAGAAGGAAACAAACTTTTGGAGTAATAGAATGAATGCCCAAGATACATCCATGGTGATTAGGTTTATTTGCACCTAAGGTGTATTAGGTATCTATTTAGTGACTCAAAATGAGAGTAATCATTTATTCTCTGTGGCAGTTTCTTCTGGTCAGGAGCCCATGAGTTCCTTGGCTGGGTGGTTCAGGCTTAAAGTTTTTCATGAATTGCAATCATCTGAAAGGTTGCCTGGGACCGGAGGATCCCCTTCCTAGGTGGTTCACTCCTAGCTGGAAAATTGGTTCCTCTTCACATGGGCCTCTCCACAGGGCTGTTTGAGTGTCTGCAGGACATGACCGCTGGCTTTCCCCATAGGGAGCCGTCCAAGAGCCCAAGACACAGTAGCAATACCTTTTATGATCCACCCCTGGAAGTCACACATCATCAACTTGGCCATATTCTGATAGTACATTCCAACCCTGTTTCAGGGCCGACTCTGCCCATCTGCTGGATGTGCTATTTTGGACCAGCACCAAAACTCTAAGTCTGTGTGCCCTCATTTATAATATAAAAATAAAAACCTCCCTTCAGGGCTGTTTTGAACATAAACCAATATAAGATTATCAAGCGCTGCTTAGTACAATGAGCTGCCCCACAACAGACATTACTTAGAAGTGATTTCATTTCCTTAGGAAGCCTGTCCCTAGTTCGCCTCATTCTCCTAAAGTTTGAACTCCGAGCATCCTTTTTATTCCCACCCCTGGAGAGCCCAGTCAGTCAGACCCCAACCTCCCCAGCCGACTCGATCCCGACGTAGGACTATTCAGGAGGCGGAACTCTAGGTCCCGGGGCTCACCTCGGCACCGGCGCGCTTTGCGAACGGACCGGAAATGGCTCCTTGAGCTCTTCGTCCGTAAGGGCAGTCGGGGGCGGCCGGCTGGACGGTCCGGGGGGCCTCTGCGACTGGGTCGCCGGCGCTGGGACGCCCTGAGAGCGGAGCGGCGGGGCCCCCGGAGGTGAAGGGGTTGCGCCCTTCCGGCCTAGTAATGCCCGGTTAGAGGCTGCTGGCTCGGACAGGCGCCCGGGTGCTGGACCGCGGCGCGGGCGGCCTGGGCGCTGCCCGGGGCTCGGTGAACAGGTGGGTGCGGAGGACAGACGAGGGTGCGGCGTGGTTCCTGTGGCCTCGGGCTGTGGCCTTGCCCGGCGTGGGGCTAGGAGGGGGTTCCGTCCAGGCCTGAAGAGTAAGAATCATTGCTCTAAGGACGTGCCCTTTGAAGGATTGGAGGTGTGGGATTTTTTGCTTTTTAATGCTGATGAGCATGAAAACAAGCATTACCAACAGCAATAATATTATCTGCCAATTAGTGAGCATTTACTGTGTAATAAATGTTCTTTTAGGAACATTAGGCTCCTTACGTCATGTAGCCTCACCTTAGAGCTGCTATCATCCGTTTTACAGATACCATCATTTTCCCGTCCTATCATTATTCCGCTTTGCAGGTAAAAGGGAAGCTTAGAGAAAAGTGCTTTGCCCAAGGTCACTTAACTAATAAGTGAAAAATTGGGACTCTAGCCTGGATGTATCTACCTGCCTACAAAAGAGACAGATCGCAGGAAGATTTACGTCTTTTCTGACCCTCCTGGCAAGAATTACACATCTCTTTCCTGACCTCTGTCCCGTAAGGTCTCTCTTGGTGTGTTCAGCTAGTCACAGGTCATGTCTTTTATGGATTTTAGCATTTGCACACCCAGTTTCTTCACCACTCGGAGCCAAGGCTATGTCATTACAGGGGGTTATCAGAGAAAGATCAGTAACCCCACATTTTATCACCTCTACTGGATGTAAACTGTTAACGTACATGTTCTAGTGGACCTGTGGCTTCTCTTGTCTACATAGGACTACACTGTTAGAACTCTGTTTATCCCAGAGGAGAAGAGGAAGAACTTTTACTCCAGGGTAACTATTAACAGTTGAAATATGAGCCCCATTATTATCATGAGGAATGTCAGGGAAAAAACTAGAACAGAATCCAAACCCTTTCCAAAGGCCCTGACTACACTTTCCAACTCATGTGACCTCCCTTCTGTACATTAAGTGGGGAACCTTTTGAATTGTGCTTTGTTTTCTAATTTTTATTTTTACAGAACAGACATCTGGCTTTTGGTGAGAGGTCTCCATGGCAAAAGTGGTACTTGGTGGGATGAGCATCTTTCTGAAGAAAATGTTCCTTTTGTTAAGAAGTTGGTCTCTGATGAAAATAAAGCCCAATTAGCAAGTAAACTCTGTCCTCTGAAAGATGAGCCGTGGCCTATACATCCTTGGGAACCAGGTGGTTATTTTGTATATGTTGTGTTCTCATCGCCTAATTACTGTCTGGCTGGCACGTTTAAAATCGTAGTGACTTCTGAATCAATTTATCATCTCTTTAATTTATTTTCATGTCTTAAGTGTGTCTATTTCCTTGTGGTTTGCTTTGCAAGTATATTTCCAGCATCCTAGTCTACTGTTAGTGAATGTCTGATGATCATCAAGACTTCCTCAAGAAACTGCTTTGTAGGTGAAAAGAGAATTGTTCTGCAAACGTTTTCTTGTTTTCTTCAGATGAAAAATAATAAAATAAATCAGGGAAGAAAAGCTGGAAGAGTGTGATCTAAACTGTAATGTATCACACAGACGTTTGTAGCTGGGGTATTCTGCCTCTCCACGCCTGCCAAGCATAACCCCAGAATCAGCTCTATGTGCCTGGTAGAGTGCTAAATCCATGTGTGGCCAGACCAAAAAGCATAAGGCCTTTCCTGTTCATGGAGTTGTCGTTGGTTGGGGGTTATTGTGGCTGTTGAATTGTTTAATGGCTAGAACTCTTAGTGGAGCAACTTTATCAATTTATGCAGCAAATCTAAGTGTCATGGTGGATGCTGACATATTTTAGCAACATGACCACTTGTGTCATCTCAATAACTCCAGCTAACTTCTTAGAATTTGAGTAGTAGATGTTTCCTAATTAATGAGGTTGGATATGAATTGATATTAGGAAAGCAAAGCATAATGATGGATTTATCATGCCCTCTATTAATACCAGTATTTTAAATACCAGAATATATCAGTTTAACTATTTTCTTTATTTTGTACGGTTTTCTTATATTTTTTATTTTGCAGAGATTTATTGAGTACCAGTATATTATGTCAGGCATGGCTGAAGGCATTTATATCTGTAAGGAACAGTTGTATTTTACTGTATGACTATATCAGCATGTTTCTTATCTGCTTGCTCCTCATATGAAAGCAAAATTTAGGAAATACCGTTGTATCGTGTTGACAAATGTTGAAAAGTCTATGTGAGTATTGATTTGTTTCTAATTGCCAGGTTCCTCTAGAGTAGGCCTTATTGCACTGAAGTTAGGCATGATGCCCTTATGGACCAAAGATGGTCAGAAGCATGTTGTCACATTACTTCAGGTAAGAAACAGAAGATGTAACAAATCTATGTGTGTGCTGAGATCTATTTGTGCAACCCTAAATGGGCAATATTTGTATCCTGAAACATTTGACTGTGTGGTGAAGAAGAGGTAAAGTCGAGCATAGATACTGTAAAAGAGCTTTACTTCTGATGGTGTCAGTGAATGTTCTCACGCATGCCTGAGTGGTGGCTTTCTTTATACTGGCATTGGGATAACTGGGGCAATTAATTAAAAAAAAAAATTGTAACCTAGCTTCTTACAGATCTACTAGTTTAATTCATAATCAGAAAAAAATCTCAGTCCCATCTTATTTTCATTTATGGAGTTCTTTCAATTCAAAATTGTAATTTTGATCTCTTTACTAACTCAGAATGTAACACTTTTGTCTGGGGAAGCAGCATTTGGTTCTCTGAGATAAGGTTAAGCTCTAATGCTTAAGGATATAGGCCCTGGAACCAGAATACCTCAGATGTTGGTTCTGCCATTTTCTAGCTGTGTTCCTTGGAGCACTGTGTCTTATCTGTAAAAGAATAATTTTATTCTGTAGAAGAAATCACTATGATCTCCCCCAAAGGGTTATTGTGAGGCTTGCACAAGATTCTAAATGTCAAGCACTTAAAATTTAAAACAATATTAAATGTCCAATAAATGTTAGCTGTTATTGTCTTTATCATTATTATAAAAAGATTACTGATAAAGTTGAGACCTTCATTGCCCAGATCACTTTGAACAGCTCAGTTCATATTGGAGTCAGGCCTTAGAGAAGCATTTAGAGAGGTGATGGGGAGTAAAATGAGACCTCATGCATGTAAGTGCTTCCAGTGCTGACAGGCACAGGTGGCCTGTAAGCCCTTAGTAAGTTTTTACTGACTCTGAATGATCAAGGAAAGGATTATAGTTTCTGGAACGCTGCAGAACTTTGGGAGCTTTTAGGAATGATGGGTGGGATTGTAAATTGGTACAGCTGCTTCAGGAAATAGTTTAGCATTATGGAAAAGTTGAGGTATGTGAATCAGTGATCTCCCAGTTCCACTCCTGAGTGTTACTAGAAAATGTGAACAGATGATTTATAGCAGCATTACTCTTAATACTCCAAAAGTAGAAATAACTCCCATGTCCATCATAGTAGAATGGGTAAATAAATCATGGTGTATTTACATGATGGAGTGCTGGGTGACAGTGATAATGGACAGAATAGAGCTGCACACAACAGTATGGGAGAACCTTACCTATAGAATCTTGAGTGAAAGCAGGAAAATATGGAGGAGTATATGTGGTCTGACTCCATTTACATAAAGGTTCAATAGACAGCACTGAACTATAGGATTAAACAATACTTTCAAAGGTAGTAATTATAATGAAAAGCTAAATGATTACCATAAATGTCAAGAGAGGTGGTTATTTCTAGGACAGTTCTTCTCAGACTTTACCTCAGAATCACCTGGAGGGCTTATAAAACACAGGTTCTGATTTAGTAGGTCTTGGCTGAGGCCTGAGAACCTGCATTTTCACAGAGTTCCCAGGTGACTGATGCTGCTTGCCTGGGGACCACACTTTGAGAGCCACTGCTCTAGGGGTAAAAAGGGTGGGGAGGAGGAATGGGTATGAGGGGGGAATTGGGAAGAGACACAGAGGTTTGGGGGATTTTTGACATGCGTAGTGGTTACATGCATATTTTCTTTATAAATACTCATTTTGTTGTATATTTGTGTTTTATGCACTTTTCTGTTTGTGTTATATTCAGTATTTGACAGTGTTTTTTTAAGAGTGTGGTTGGTATGGTGAGATAAGATGGATTGGATGGGCCTCAGTGTGGCTGGTATGTAATGTTAGCATGTGTCCTGGCACATACTTAGTTTTTTTATGTTTGTTTTTTTAGGTACAAGACTGTCATGTCCTAAAATATACTCCAAAGGAAAATCATAATGGAAAAATGGCAGCCCTGACTGTAGGAGGAAAAACTGTATCACGTTTCCATGTAAGGGTGCACTTTCATTCCTAGAATAGTGCATTTCATTAGTTTTAGACCTGAATTCTTTGAGATTCTGAATTCTTTTAAGTTTTGAGGATATCCCATAGCCACAGACTTGTCCAGGAGGTGAACTGTGGATTTGGGGGGAGGCAGTCTGATAGAGCTACTGACCCCAGGAGTCTGGGAGACTTTGAGTTTGCTCCAGTACCTCCCTTCACTGTCTGGAACAAGTAACTTCACCTTCTAAGCTTCAGTATTTGCCCAGATGTAAAATGTGGATAAAAATACTACTTACCTAAGAGGTTTGGTACCAGGATTATGTGAGACTTTTCACATGTGCCTGGCATGTAACAGACACTCAAAAGATGGTAGCTATTTGATTATTTTGTGGTTGTTTTATGTTTATTTTCATTTTTTTTCTAAATTGTCTCAACTCTTGACTCCAACAGCATGTGAGGATTTTCATATATTAGAAGTTTTCAGTATTGGGAAGAAAGCTGTGTATGAAGTCACATGAGATTTTTCTGAATAAAGTGTATTTCCCAAGTAGAATACTAATAGAATGCTGAGTTTGTAGTTTAAATGTGAAAAAAATCTGCACAGTTGGTATTTTGGGGGGTTTGGGGATGACTGAAAGCAGAGAATGCCTTTCTAGAAATGGTGATGGTTTTCACTAATGGCTGCTAAAACATCTTTAGGTTTACTAAAACGTTGCTTGTCTCTAGATTAACATTTTTCCATTATAGATTATTTATGAAATGAACATGAATGAAAGTTAGGAGACAACCTGTTTTGTGCAGCTGTCAAAACTAACAAGTGTTTATCGATTGCCTCCTATTTCCTTGTCATAGTTAACTTTTGAACACTTATTACATGCTGGGTAGGCATTAAGTGTTTTACATTTATTAACTTACTTTTTCAGACTCTAAAGATAACGAAGTTAAGTAACTCCCTCAGGGACACCCACCAATAAGAGGTAGAGTGACAGACTCTGAAAGCCTTACTTTGTTAATTGTATCTTGATATCTACCCGTTGGGAATACATAGGGAAGGTGGACTAATAAATTGACTATCTCAACACAGTACTATAAATGCAACAAGCACATTGGCCAATTCTGCTTGTGGAAATCCTAGGAGGTTTCACAGGGAGGAGACCAGAAAGGAGGGTGGGTGCTAAAGGCATGCCAGGCAGAGTGGGCTCTGCAGAAGCAGATGCATGGAAGAGCATTGGTGCTTGGTAAGAGAAGGGCCGTATGTCTGGATCTTAGTGTGCAGTCGGGGAGAATGTGATAAAGGTGTGACGTGGGGTTGTCAGGATGGAGGGCTAACAAGTTTAGACCTCATCACGTAAACTTTGAGGAACTTTCTGAATTCTTTAACCAGGGCAGTGGTCAAATTGTTATCATGGTTAACTAAATTAGAAGATGCCAGGTGCAGGGAGGACATTTAGGAAGTTGTTTAAGCCCTCAGGGAGAGTCGATAAAAGTCTTTTGCCCCAGAGCAGTTGCATTGGGCTTGGAAGAGGCAGGGATTATAAAAGACCAGGTGAGTGTGAGCGTGTGGGAAGAAAACCCAGCAGGTCAGTGCTCATGCCATGACCTGGGACAGGGACAAGGAAAGGGATGCTTTGGAGGAAAGACGTGTTTAAAGTGTTTTAGGAAATCCAGGTGGAATTGTCCTATAAGTATATACTGATCAGCAAATTGGCGCTGATTGGAGTCCTATGGTTTAATAGGCCTATCTCGTAAGTATTAGAGGACTTAGCTATTTTTGCATATTATGGTAGTATAGTTTATTTTTCATTAAGCCTTCATAGTAATATCTGCTATTCCTGACAGCTTATTGCCTAATAATTACAAGGTTCAGATAATACCACAGTAATTAAAAGCACAATGTGATATTTTGGGAAACATTTTTTTAAAATGTCAAATGTTTGTTTTTTTGGGTTTTTTTTTTTGAGGTACACGGGCCTCTCACTGCTGTGGCCTCTCCCGCTGCGGAGCACAGGCTCCAGACACGCAGGCTCAGCCGCCATGGCTCACGGGCCCAGCCGCTCCATGGCACGTGGGAACTTCCTGAACCGGGGCACGAACCCGTGTCCCCTGCATTGGCAGGCAGACTCTCAACCACTGCGCCACCAGGGAAGCCCAAATGTTTGAATTTTTAAGTGTGTAAATATTTGCCCAACTTCCTGTGAATCATGTGAACAGTTCTTCAGTTTGATAGACACCTCTGTTTTCTAATTGATTGTATTTCTGTGTTTTGCTAGGACTGTCATCTTTATTTCATTACCAATTTTGTAAATTTATGACTCTACAGCCTTGGTATTTTGAGTCAGGTGTCCTGTTGGGATAATCCATTCTGCTCCAGCAGATTTGTGAACATTACTTCCTTGGGACTATGCGGTAGTGGGAAATGAGTGGACCTGGGATCAGAAGAGCTGAGTTCTTCCATGGCTGCCAGTAGCTCCTTCACTCCACCTTTTTGAACAGCCATTTTCTTACCCATGAAGAGAAGGAATTGGACTTGATGGTCTCTGAATTCTCTCCCAGTTCTAAGTCTCACATTGGTTCTCAAATATTTTAGTTTTTAAGAAAAAACAAAAGTTCCCCTCCAAAAATGAACTTGTCAGCTCAATTTATTCTATTTTACTTAGTGATAAAGATAGTCTGATTGATGAAGTCTTATTAACATAACAACTAGGGCTTCCCTTGTGGCACAGTGGTTGAGATTCCGCCTGCTGATGCAGGGGATATGGGTTCGTGCCCTGGTCCGGGAAGATCCCACATGCCGCGGAGCGGCTGGGCCCATGAGCCATGGCGGCTGGGCCCGTGAGCCATGGCCGCTGAGACTACACGTCTGGAACCTGTGCTCCGCAGCGGGAGAGGCCACAACAATGAGAGGCCCGCATACCGCAAAAAAATAAATAAATAACATAATAACTAAACTATTACAGAAATGATAGTACTTTTATTTCTACTTTGGTATTTGAGACTCTGGTCTTCATACCTTAAGCTTTATCTCACCAATGAATATATAGCACAGCAGGGTGATTTGGATGCTGTATTCTTATACTGTGGTGAATTTTAACCACTTATCTGACATAAACTTTTAAAACTGTTCACTACTCTGGTATAGAAGTGCTACAGAGGCCCTTTTATTCTTCAAGATATTATTTTTCTAGGACCAGAGGTCATGTATTATAATATTAAGAAAAAAGTTTTGTCTGAATAACTTTTCATCAGAATAGGATGTGAAAATGAAGTTCTAGAATTCTTTAAAAGTAAAGCATTTTGGTTCAGAAAAGAAAAAGATTTTTGAAACTAAAAGTATACAGACTTTCTCTTGCACATTGTAACCCTCAGGGAAACTGCAGGTAGATTGATTATAGAGGGTTTGAGAGAGAGAAGAGACACCTATGAATAGGTAATATTAAATAGTTAAGCATTCTGAAATGAGTTGATTGAATCAGTTTTATTTTTAATAGGGCTAGAATGTTATTATTTTTTTTTAATCTGTAAAGAATTTATGCCTCCAAGAAACTAGACTGCTTTGCTTTTGCTATTTGTGTACCTTATAATAAATAAAAACTGATGTGGTACATAGTGTTTTTGAATAAGGAAGCTAAGTGGCCTTAAAGTTGGTTAAATCAATTCATTTTAGGAGCAGAGAAGCATTTTCATTGTGAGGAGGATAATTGCAGAGAACTCTGAAGAGGGAGGAAAAAAATGGAACCTCATAGATAGGATTATCCAAGTGTGACTCTGCTGTCAGTCTTTTAAATTGCCTTTTGAAATCATTTATTTGGAAGTTAGAGGAAAAAAAGCCCTTTGTTACTGCAGCTGACTCAACTCAACTTGAACATCTGTTTTTTCTCAGGGCAGATACCCAATTAGTTTTATGATATTTTGATTTTAAAAGAAAAAAATTATTCACTTTTAGTGAAATTGGAAGATAATCAGGAAGTATGTATTACCTTTGTCCTTTTTATGTCTCAGTCTATATAGTTACTTAGTCAAGATGTTTATCTTGTCCATTTTGTATTACTAAAAAAAGTTCAGGATTTTTCTCATAAGCCTCCTGGAATACTTAAAAACCAGTATTAATAAAATAATGTTTTTAAGTTACCAGGTGGAATATGTGAAGGTCAAAAATAAAATTGAAGTCTGTTCTAAAATTTAATAAGTCTGAATCCAGTACATCAGGAAAATAATTTTAAGGATCCACATTTTAAAAATTTTTATTGAAGTTTAATTGACCTAAAACACTGTTAGTTCCAGATACACAACATAGTGATTCAGTATCTCTGTACGTTACAAAATGATCCTCACAGTTACCATCTGTCACCATACAAAGTTATTACAATATTATTGACTATATTCCCCATGCTGTACATTTCATCCTCTTGACTCATTTATTTTGTAACTGGAAGTTTACTTCTTAACCTCCCTCACTTATTTCACTCATCCCGTCCACCCCATCCTCCTCTGACAACCACCTGTTTGTTCACCGTATCTATGAGTCTGTTTCTGTTTTGTTACCTTTGTTCATTTGTTTTTTAGATTCCACATATAAGTGAAATCACATGGTGTTTGTCTTTCTCCATCTGACTTATTTCACTTTGCATAATATCCTCTAGACCCATCCATGTTGTTGCAGGCAAGATTTCTTTTTTTTCATGGCTGAGTAATATTCCATTCTGTGTGTGTGTGTGTGTGTGTGTGTGTGTGTGTGTGTGTGTACATACACATATATACACATCTTTATCCATTCATCTAGCGTTGGATACTTAAGTCACTTTCATATCTTAGCTATTGTAAATAACACTGTGATGAACATAGATGTGCATATATGTTTTCGTATTAGTGTTTTTGTTTTCTTTGGAAGAATACCCAGAAATAGAGTAACTAAATTATATGGTATTTCTATTTTTAATTTTTGAGGAACCTCCATACTGTTTTCTGTAGTGGCTGCACCAATTTACATATCTGCCAACCGTGTGCAAG